CGTAGCTCAGCAAAACAAAGATTGTTGTTAATCTAGAGTGTAGTTAGTAACAGAATTATGACCAGTATAGGGTCTTCGTTTCTGACCAATTGCTTCTGCTATTTTTGCAACTATGCGTGTAGTGTGGGAAGATGGTAGGCAAGAAAGGGTCGAGGCCGGGGGGGGGGGGGGAAGGAAAAGGAAAGGGAGCTTCTCTGCTAAGGTGGATCTAGCTTAATTTGTTATACAATGAGAGGCACTTTCTGGTAACGTAAAAACAACTTTCTAATCATCAAAACTCCTTCCTTGTTTTCTTTACTGGTACACTACGTTTCTTGATTTTCAAGCAGAGCTATTCACTAGTTTTGATTTTATCTTATCAAAAAGCTAATTTGGACTCATATGTTCATGAGTATCTTTCCCGCTTTTGATTGCTTTGGACGTAAATCCCTTTCCGCCCAAAGCAAATGGGCCTAAATGGATTTTCAATTTCCATTCACGGTTTAGCGCAACGATGATCTGTTTGTACAGCTCATATTGCTAGCCATTCAGGCTGCAATTCATAGAAATCTTGCAGCGATTTTATTTTATTTCCAAAGGGTATAACTCAGCATCCAATTCTTTGTTATCAAAAGGTTCTCAACAATGTTGTCCATACGGTGATGGAAATGACAATGTGAAATGGAGCCGTTATGTACGAATAAGCTGTGTTAGTGTTTGTCAAAAGATTAAAATGCAAAAATGCAGTTTCCAGAACCATTTTGACCTTAACTTTTTTATGGGAAGGCCATCCAAGGCTTCTATTTATTATGTTAGATTAATGTACCCTAACTCGTTACGTTAGTCGTACAATTGCAGATTTTACTTTTACATATCCAAAATACGAATTTGTCTATAAGATATCCAGCTTTTTCCAAACTAGATCAAGCATATAGAGACGTTTTAAATATTCATGTTACCAATAAATCAAATAGACGCAATTTTCTTGGCTTGCACATACTTTGCGATAACTATTCTTTAACAATACAATAAAACTATCTAAGTTCAGTGTTAGCACATTCTATGCTAACGCAAGCATTTTATTAGTTAAATCGATAATATGAATATTAGCAATAATGTGATTCTCTAAAACGCGCTTAGAATTTTGTGGTTCTCGGAGCGTAATTGAAATCTTATTAGGTTGTGTAATGAATTCTGTCCCATTTTTTCTTTCGGTCTTTTCACGATATTTTGCACGGTGATTTGCAAAATGTATAGTGCATTTGAAAGCTCTAAGTCTGCTCTACCAAAATTTTCACTTCAGTTTCCTACATCCTTAGAATGCAAAAAGCTCCCCAGCATTAAGTTTGGAAAACCAAAATGGGAAAAAATCCATTTTCGACATCAAATTTGAGTGACCCTTGTTAAAATGCTTACAGAACAGCTCGAAAGATCAGTTGAGCGTAAGGGAGCAATGCTATAGCTTCTGCAGAGTTCAAAAGTGCAAAAAAACCTTCGAAAAAAACTTTCATCAAACTCAGAAAAGTCTTTTTTTAACGTCTTTTCAATGTTGACGTCTGAAAATAGTCCAGAGAAAGGACGGTAGATAGACGATAATTTAGAAAAAAAACAGTATTTTTGGTCTCTGGCTTAAAGTCTTCGAATTTAGGAGTTATTCACTTGAAATTCAATGCTTGGGGCTACGCAACTTAGGTAGGCGAGACGATGAACATCGCCGCAGCAAATTTTTTCTGTGCTGATTTCTGAAAAAATGGCATTAAAGTTCGGTAGAAGGAAGGAAACAAGCATAAACAGTGACATTGCAACCATAAGAGTCTAACATATTTGCTAGCTGTCAAGTTTTTGAATGAAAATTACCAATGGAATACGGGGAAATTTGGAGATAAAATAGATGTCGAAAACGAGATTTTTGCCTCTTCGAATTTTTTCTTCTGATGCCAATAATCGTTTTCAGCATCCTGCTAACTTGGGAAACGAAGCATACAAAGTCCCAGAGCAGACTAGATCTTTCAAAAGCTTATACACTTTATTTCAAATACAATGCAGCCCCTAACTTGCTTAAAAAAACGCCAAGCGATGGATTTTTCCGCCGCGGCAGATGAATCAACAAAAAATCGTCGGAAGCTCATAGAATCTTTCAGAATAAGTTTTTTGCAAAGCTTATGAGATTTTTGGAAAGTTCACAAAAAAGCGATTCTGAAAACAAAAAAAAATTCTCAAAACACATCTTCCTAACTGCTTCAGTGGGGTGGCGACGGAATGATCTGCCACGAAATCGTTGCAAGCTCATAACTCTATTGAAAATTACTTTTTTCAAATTTTAGTTTCATATTCGGAATACTGCTGGAATGACGGCTAAAAAAATGTAAATTTGTTTGAGAAAAACTTTTCCTAAATTGTTTTAGAATGGTCGCGACGGAATGATTGTGTGTGAAACCGTCACAAAGAAATAACTCTTTCTAGATCAAAGTAAATGAAAATTTATTTTCACTACCACCATGACTACCAACCACTGATTTCAGCAACATAATAAATCTGCAAAATAAATTACGTAAACCAATTTGCCAAAAGTCGACGGTTCCGACGCAACAAATCCGTCGTTGCCGAAATTTCGACGGTTACGCCGCGACAGATACGTCGCACCGTCATAACTCTGCTTATCGACAAAATTTTTTAAGTTTGAAATTAAATATGGTGAACTTGAGCATCACTGACAAACTGTGCACAAGGATTTTCTTTTTTTCCTCAATTTTTACATGAAAATAGTCATCAGTGATGTTTGTGAAATTGAGTGAAAGCTGCGAAGTTTGAGAAGCAGTAAAGGAATTCACTGCCTAGAAATCTCTTAATCATTCTCTAATTATGGATCTAAAGGAAGTCCTTCACAAGTTTTAGAAGAAAACAGCTGATTGTGAGTTTTATCGATGGAGATATGGATCTCCGAACTGAGGTTGGCGGCCTAAAATTGCAAAGTGGGACCTTGATCAAAGGAGCGTAAGTCGCGAAACTGATATTCCAGACCTATGACCTATGAAAGACTGAGTAGTGATAGAACAGGCCACAGCGAGAACATTATCATTGAGCAATGAGTTCTTGTCGAAAGAAGTCAGTGGAAAAATTTGGTAAAAATTGTCGAATTTCAACTGAAAATTCCGAGGTATTTTCAAAATGTCTAAATGCTCATAAATCTGTTATTTTCTGAACCATGACGAGATGAGCATTTTAAAAATGTAAATATCTGTCCCGGAAATGAACAAATAAAAACCTCTCACGAATTACATTCCATATTTTAAGAGAGTTGGGTGCAACTGCACCTAAAATGTGCATTTTTCCCTTTTTCGGGAAATCTACAGATTTCATACGTGCAGTTGAAGGAATTAGACATGGAAATGCTGAAATTAGAAAAAAGGCTGATCAAATGAGTTTCTGACAGTATTTCGACCTCTATTCATCGAGCCAATTAACCTGAGGTCAAGACTGGTGTTCGCGCCTTCTACGATGCCGCGGCAAGGGCATTTTAACACCTCAGTCTCAACGTCTGCGTGATAAGATCGTATTTATTTCTTTCTCTTTTGCATTTCTCCCTCTTATCATTGTTTTCTGTATGGAAGGAAATCCAAATTTATGATTTTGATTTTTGTATTTGATCTAGGATTCGATCACAACGATTTCCAATACTTCGAGGACAAAGGAAAATCCCCGTAAATTTCTTGTAAGGAAAGAAATCCAAATTTATGATTTTGATTTCTGTATTTGATTTAGGATTTGATCACAACAATTTCCAATAGTTCGAGGACAAGAGAAAATCCTCGTAAGTTTCTCGTAAGGAAAGCAATCCAAATTTATGGTTTTGATTTTTGTATTTGATTTAGAGTTTGATCACAACAATTTCAACGATTTCCAATAGTTCGAGGACAAGAGAAATTCCTCGTGAGTTTCTTGTAAGGAAAGAAATCCAATTTTATGATTTTAATTTTTGTATTCAATTTAGGATTTGATCACAACAATTTCAACGATTTCCAATAGTTCGAGGACAAGAGAAAATCCTCGTGAGTTTCTTGTAAAGAAAGAAATCCAAATTTATGATTTTGATTTTTGTATTTGATTTAGGATTTGATCACAACAATTTCAACGATTTCCAATAGTTCGAGGACAAGAGAAAATCCTCGTGAGTTTCTTGTAAAGAAAGAAATCCAAATTTATGATTTTGATTTTTGTATTCAATTTAGGATTTGATCACAACAATTTCAACGATTTCCAATAGTTCGAGGACAAGAGAAAATCCTCGTAAGTTTCTCGTAAGGAAAGAAATCCAAATTTATGATTTTGATTTTTGTATTTGATTTAGAGTTTGATCACAACAATTTCAACGATTTCCAATAGTTCGAGGACAAGAGAAATTCCTCGTGAGTTTCTTGTAAGGAAAGAAATCCAATTTTATGATTTTGATTTTTGTATTCAATTTAGGATTTGATCACAACAATTTCAACGATTTCCAATAGTTCGAGGACAAGAGAAAATCCTCGTGAGTTTCTTGTAAAGAAAGAAATCCAAATTTATGATTTTGATTTTTGTATTTGATTTAGGATTTGATCACAACAATTTCAACGATTTCCAATAGTTCGAGGACAAGAGAAATTCCTCGTGGGTTTCTTGTAAGGAAAGAAATCCAAATTTATTTTTGATTTTATTTGATTTAGAATTCGACCACAACGATTTCCAATACTTCGAAGACAAGAGAAAATCCTGTAAGTTTCTTGAAAGTTTTTTGAGATTTTTTCAAAGATTTTTTGAAATTCAAAAAAGCTTCCAGTCGAGTTTCCTACAGAATACTATAATGGCATGTACTTTTTAATACATAAAAATACAAAACAATGTTTAACAGTTTATAGTACAGATGAAAGGAGCAGGTGTTTTACAATCAAACTACAACCCGAATAAGTTATACACGTATATATATTCTACATAGAATTCTATCATATAATTTATATGCACAATAGAAAGGGAAATGATTTACAGCTTTATCTATTCTCTAAGATGTTTTGTCCTCCTTGTTCGATAACACGTACAAGCTTCTTCCGAACTCCAAGAACATACTTTTTGCATACATCGGGGGTCAGTCCTTTCCAGTATTGTACTATCCTCACTTTGAGATCGTCCAAAGTCCTAACGTTTTTAGCACTGGAATAAGAATTTCAGTTTAGTTAACATAGCAGTCATGATAAACCTTATGAATTTTTTCATATTTCCCCATACAAGCTCAATTGGATTTGAATCGGGGGATTCGGCAGGCCATTCTAGTGTGTCCAGATCCCACTCCTTCAGCTTCTCGAGTGTAAAGCGACTCTTATGAGGTGGTGCATTGTCCTGGATCAATCGTGCAAAACCTAGAATTAGAATTCTATGAACCTGACTATGTTTTTTTCTTGCCATTATGTGCTTTCCTGACGAATGGGACGTAGCATTTTTCAAGGATCCGGCAGTAAACTTTGCTGTTAATTTTGCAACTTCCTGGCAAAAACGCGAGTTGAGTTGTTCCTCTAGATGAAATTCCTCCCCAGACGTGTAATTTCGCTGGGTGCTTAGCACGACTTCGCATCCTCGAATAGTGATCTCCCTTTTTGACGAAACGGAATTTTGTAGAGCCGTCGACTAAGACATTCAATGATTAGCGAGATATTAAAATTGTTGTTGTTATTATTTTACCTTGAAAGGTGCTCTCATCAGTGAAAACGCAATCGGAAAAGCTCGTAAAATCTTCCAGCATCCTCGTACAAAAGTCAACGCGTTTCACTTTGTTGACATCTCTTATCATGTGGCAGTAGTTGGTAGTAGTCCTATCCAAACCATCTCGTTTCCTTAGACGTTTGATATGGGTTACGCTCGCATTAATTCCTCTTCTTGCCAGCCTTGCTTTCACATCTTTGGCTGTTGTAGAGCTATTATGAGAATAACAGCGATCAATTTCTGATCTGATTTCTTCATAATGGTCTATAATCGAATGATATAATAACTAAAACATACGTAATAGAAGTTGATATCACAAACTTGATAATGATCTTGGGACAAACGATAATTCTGGAATATACGAACTCTCGAACTTCTGGAATATACGAACTCTACAAAAAACTTACGGGGATTTTCCTTTGTCTCCTAGATCAAATACAAAAATCAAAATCATAAATTTGGATTTCCTTCCATACAGAAAACAATGATAAGAGGGAGAAATGCAAGAGAGAAAGAAATAAATACGATCTTATCACGCAGACGTTGAGGCTGAGGTGTGAAAATGCCCTTGCCGCGGCATCGTAGAAGGCGCGAACACCAGTCTTGACCTCAGGTCAATTGGCTCGATGAATAGAGGTCGAAATACTGTCAGAAACTCATTTGATCAGCCTTTTTTCTAATCTCGGCATTTCATGTCTAATTCCTTCAACTGCACGTATGAAATCTGTAGATTTCCCGAAAAAGGGAAAAATGCACATTTTAGGTGCAGTTGCACCCAACTCTCTTAAAATATGGAATGTAATTCGTGAGAGGTTTTTATTTGTTCATTTCCGGGACAGATATTTACATTTTTAGAATGCTCATCTCGTCGTGGTTCAGAAAATAACAAATTTATGAGCATTTAGACATTTTGAAAATACCTCGAAATTTTCAGTTGAAATTCGACAACTTTACCAAATTTTTCCACTGACTTCTTTCAACAGGAACTCATTGCTCAATGATATTGTACTCGCTGTGGCCTGTTCTATCACTACTCAGTCTTTAATAGGTCTGGAATATCAGTTTCACGACTTACGCTCCTTTGATCAAGGTCCCAATTTGCAATTTTAGGCCGCCAACCTCAGTTCGGAGATCCATATCTCCATCGATAAAACTCACAATCAGCTGTTTTCTTCTAAAACTTGTGAAGGACTTCCTGTAGATTCATAATTAGAGAATGATTAAGAGATTTCTAGGCAGTGAATTCCTTTACTGCTTCTCAAACTTCGCAGCTTTCACTCAATTTCACAAACATCACTGATGACTATTTTCATGTAAAAATTGAGGAAAAAAAGAAAATCCTTGTGCACAGTTTGTCAGTGATGCTCAAGTTCACCATATTTAATTTCAAACTTAAAAATTTTTGTCGATAAGTAGAGTTATGACGGTGCGACGTATCTGTCGCGGCGTAACCGTCGAAATTTCGGCAACGACGGATTTGTTGCGTCGGAACCGTCGACTTTTGGCAAATTGGTTTACGTAATTTATTTTGTAAATTTATTATGTTGCTGAAATCAGTGGTTGGTAGTCATGGTGGTAGTGAAAATAAATTTTCATCTACTTTGATCTAGAAAGAGTTATTTCTTTGTGACGGTTTCACACACAATCATTCCGTCGCGACCATTCTAAAACAATTTAGGAAAAGTTTTTCTCAAACAAATTTACATTTTTTTAGCCGTCATTCCAGCAGTATTCCGAATATGAAACTAAAATTTGAAAAAAGTAATTTTCAATAGAGTTATGAGCTTGCGACGATTTCGTGGCAGATCATTCCGTCGCCACCCCACTGAAGCAGTTAGGAAGATGTGTTTTGAGAATTTTTTTTGCTTTCAGAATCGCTTTTTTGTGAACTTTCCAAAAATCTCATAAGCTTTGCAAAAAACTTATTCTGAAAGATTCTATGAGCTTCCGACGATTTTTTGTTGATTTATCTGCCGCGGCGGAAAAATCCATCGCCTGGCGTTTTTTTTACGCGAGTTAGGGGCTGCATTGTAGGGTAAATATTATTGATAAAAAATCAAAAGAAAAAATGGGACAGAACTTGTTACGCAACCTAATAGTTGATTCACTGTCAAGATTAGAGTGCACAAAGAAATCCTTTAATGTAAAATACCCAAATGCAACAACAGGTATCACTCAAAAGTGGAAATACAAAAATGTAGACGCTAGGGTAACATTCTGGATCATACTCGCAGAGATCTTAGGCCACTTTTTGCACTATACAATAGTATGCATAGAACCTAGTCATGGTTATTACTCTTTTGCTTAACTACTTCTTAGAATGAGCCTCAACGTGCTTTCATTTTGTTCTGTCTAGAGGTAGGAAGAGCAGAACCTCCTATTGAATGAGTAATATAATAGGTTGTAACTTATTATGTCGGTTTGAAAGTAATCTCGCGTCTTCAACCGGACGCCTCATCTCGCGACCAAAGATTTTTAGAAGGTTGACGTAATATTCGATGCAAAATATTATTCTCTTTCAGACATTATAATCTCATTGCGGCAAAACCAATGAGTTTTCAGATAATTACCGAATCCTGCAGACCATTTAATTGGAGAGGCCAAGTTTCGCTACTTTTCTGAATTTTCATACCAAGTCTTCGGAGGAGTCCAAATAGCTGATGGATAAGCAGTTCTACAGGAAACAGCACCGCTTTTTTTCCTTTCTATAGTTCGCCGTAATTTTTCTTGAATTGCGTTTTCAGTTTTTTGTCTACTGTGCGAGCTCTTATGATAATGCAAAATGTCCATTTTTCCCAATTGGAGTATGACAAGAAACGAACTCAAGACGTCAGCATCGCTTTGAAGGCTCGCGAGGATACTTTGTTTGGAGTGGACCAAATAAACCCTAACTTCTTTATAATAGCCTCTAAAAAGTTGAAAAAGTTGTGATCTATGTCGAACTCACCTTAATTCTTGACTATTGTCTTCTATACTATTTGGAACTGATACAGGGCGATTGGCTACTACTTTCCTTTTTAATTATCAGAGAGGAATAGCTGTTTCTGTGGTCTGAGAATTGTATGACGCTCTTTACCCCAACAAAGGCAGCATCCGCCCAAATTTCGGCTTTCATGATTCTCGTTCTGGGCGTCTCCTTGGCCCTTGTAACAGATATGAAGCACAAAGGTGCAAAATCCCCAGGAATCTTTCTGGAAGCTTTATCCTGAAGCCACTGCCTTGATGGGTTGAGGTTGATTGGCAGTGTGGCTTGATAGCAAGTTCGCAGGTTACAGGGAAAGTTTCTCATTCATAGGCGCCACATTAGAGGACATCAATGCAGAGTACCTATTTTTGAGGCCTTCTTGCTTACTGCTTACGGATACCAGTAATAATATTGATGTTTTTTTTAATTTCTCAAATTTTTTTGCACCTGTGTTTGCAAACTCGGAATTTTTTATTTACTGCTCAACTTCATCAATTTACAACTATGTGATCAGAGAATCAGTTTGAGTATGATGCTCTCCTATGGAATCCATTCATAAACCTGATTATGTCTTCTTCGAATATATAGTCATGATCTATGTGTCCCAAAATTAGCACATAGCGTTTGCAAGTGCAGAACATATTTGTAGCAAAATAAGCAATGTTGCTAAAAATTGTTTTCATTAGACTTTTCAAAGTTTTATGCCTTCTGCACTTATGGAAATATTCCGCTCCACAAAAACAGAAATTCGTTTCGTTTGACTTTAGCGTGACAGATATTTCACATCTTGTAAGTGATCAGGACTATGAAGTCCTTGCATAAAGTATAAAGTCAGTTGTACTATTGTAGCATCCAGGCTACAAATCTTTTGGATTAGTGTGTAGCAAGTGAACATTTTTGGTTCCGTTCAAGTTGCATAGTGCAAGCAATGGATTAATAGTAGAACTTATGCTATATGCAATACAATCTCTTGAAGCTGAATTCACACGCTTATGTACTGCGCAGCCTGATTTCTTAACTGTGGAAGGGGAGCAGAGTGAGAAGACGATTGGCCTCTTTTTCTAAAAGTCATTTTTCGGTAGTTATAAGTGTCGCGGCTAGCGCGATGCAAGCCACTCCTCGATTCAAGAGCCGAGAGCACTGCAAGCCGCTGGATCGGGCGCGCTATTGCTTTCGTGCCCGGACCTCTCCTTGCTTGGGCGCGTTGCCAAGTCGAGGGCTACATAAGGCCGCGCAGCGCGCGCCATATGCCTCTTTGTTTTCGGTGACCTCGTTTTTAAATTCGTTTCATTTCTCACGTACTTTTATTGATCGTGCTTGGCAGCTACCCCAGCAAGCTCCCGTGGATGAAGTGCTTGCGAGCAGAGTGATTGTCAGAGCTTTTGGATTGTGCCGCGCTAACGCGCGAGGAAAGTTTAGAGCTTGGATTCAAATTGTACCGGGAGTGGAGAGGGCTCGTACCTGTCCTACGCGGAGGCGAGTAAGCGGTCGACCCTCGGGATTACCTGACATCGTATTCAGATTTAAGTTGGTGATGATCGGCGGCTTGGGACAAGGCGGACTCGTCCCACATTTCTCCTTTTTCGTAGTTTAGACTTTCGTAATATAGTTCTTTTGTAGTGTAGTGTTTGTATTTTGATAAACTTAAGTAATCTAGTCGCGCTTTTCTTGTTGTGGTCTATCTCCACCCAGCGGGGTATTTGTCGGACGCGCCGGAATGGCCAACCGGCGCTAGAGTGTGCAGGAGTAGGAGCAGGATTGTGTTGGCAGTCGAGCGAGCAAGGGGGTGCTGAGCCCACCGAGCCGCAACATGGTGCATCGACGCCGAGCGCATGGACGATGGAGTACTCCGCCCGCGTATGGAATGGAACGGACGCGCAGATCGAGGACGAGCTGGACAACATCAGGACGCCGTTATGGGAACGCGCCATCCTATCTTCCATGCGTGCGTAACGGACCTGAGTCTACCACGCTCAGCACAATAAGAAGATCAGCAACAAGGAGACCAAGGACCACAGTACCAGGACGATAGGAATGGTAGCCAGGAGCATGAAGATCGAGCGCGGGGTGGATAGGAAGCAAGATGGTGGCAGCTCTTGCCAACTTAGAGCTGCAGACGTCAG